CCCGCGCCCGAGGCGCCCGCGCCCGAGCCGGGCTACGTCAACTACACCAAGCTGCACTACGTGCTGGAGTCCGGGGAAGGCGGGGAGGCCGGCCACGGTGAGCGGGGCCCCGGGGTGGGTGGCCGGGGCGGGGGGGGGCGCCCGTACTACCCCCGTCCCGCCCCCCAGAGTTCCAGGACGACAAGATCTCTCTGCCCTTCGTGGTGACCGATCTCCGCGGCCGGCACCTGCGGCCCATGCGGGAGCGGACGGCCGCCCAGGTGGGCATAGGGGGGAGAGGTGGCGGGCCGCACTGCTGGGGCGTGGGGGACCCCGTGACCCCTGACCCCGCGCCCCCACCTCAGGGCCAGTGTCTGACGGTGGAGCAGCTCACGCTGGACTTCGAGTATGTCATCAACGAGGTCATCCGCCACGACGCCACCTGGGGCCACCAGTTCTGCTCCTTCAGTGACTACGACATCGTCATTCTGGAGGTGCAGCCGGCGTGGCCCCGCGCGTGTGTGTGCATGTGTGTGTACATGGGCGCGCGTGCGTGCCACGGGAGCCACTGAGACTGTCTCCCCCAATCCCCAAAACCAGGTCTGCCCAGAAACCAACCAGGTCCTCATCAACATCGGCCTGCTGCTCCTGGCCTTCCCCGCGCCCATCAAGGAGGGGCAGCTCCGGTGAGTGGCCCTAACCCCACACACCAGGCCGGGCTGGGCGGCTCACACCTATAATCCCACCTACTCAGGAGATCTGAGGACGGTGGTGCCAAGCCAGCTGGGGTGGGAAAGTCCACGAGATTTTTCTTGAGTGAATCACCAAAAAGCAGGAAGTGGCGCTGTGGCTCAAGTGGTAGAGCACCAGTTTTGTGTGTGAAAGGTCAGGAACAGTGCCTAGGCCCCAGTTCAAACAAAAACCTCTTACGTGTGGGTCCAGCTCAGAGACTCAGTGGTCAACCGCAGCCTGCCCCCCCCCCCACTGCAGACCAAAGACCTACCACACCAGCCTCAAGGTGGCCTGGGATCTCAACACGGGCATCTTCGAGACCGTCAGCGTGGGTGACCTCACGGAGGTCAAAGGGCAGACCAGGTGAGGCTGGGGCCGGGAGGTGACGGACCTGGGGTCACCGCGCGCCGCTGACCCCCACCCCCACCCCCAGTGGCAGCGTGTGGAGCTCGTACCGCAAGAGCTGCGTGGACATGGTCATGAAGTGGCTGGTGCCCGAGGGCAGCGGCCGCTACGTCA